GTGCACGGCCAGACCTGCCAGGGCACGGGCCCCGCCGCCCAGTGCTACAGCTCGGGCAACTGCTTCACCGACGGCGTGTGGGACTCCACCATGTGCCCCGACCCGGAGTCCTGCGCCGAGAACTGCGCGCTGGAGGGCGTCACGCTGGACGACTACGACAGCACCTACGGCGTCGCGGCGATCCCGGGAGGCGTCGAGCTAGGCTTCGTGCGCGGCCCGAACGTGGGGTCCCGCCTGTACGTCCTGGAGAAGCCAGACAAGTACAAGCTGTTCAAGCTCCTGAACAGGGAGTTCACCTTCGACGTGGATGTCTCCACACTTCCCTGCGGACTGAACGGCGCGTTGTACTTCAGCGAGATGGACGAGGATGGGGGGATGAAGCACGCGGGCAACAAGGCTGGCGCCAAGTACGGGACAGGCTACTGTGACGCCCAGTGCCCCCATGACGTGAAGTTCATGGAGGGCAAGAGCAACACCCTCGAGTGGAACACGAGCGCAGCTCTCGGCAAGTACGGGCTGTGCTGCGCGGAAGTTGACATCTGGGAGGCGAACTCCATGGCCACGGCCTTCACGATGCACCCGTGCACCATCGATGGCACCTATCTGTGCAAGGGCAAGGAGTGCGGCGACAACGCCAAGAACGAGCGCTACGATGGCGTCTGCGACAAGGATGGCTGCGACTTCAACTCGTACCGCATGGGCCACAAGCAATTCTTCGGACCGGGAGACGATTTCACGGTGGACACCACGCAGCCCATGACCGTGGTGACCCAGTTCGTGACAGACGACGGCACCGACGACGGCGACCTCGTGGAGATAAGGCGCCTCTACGTGCAGGGCGGCAAGGTGATCAAGAACTCGAACGCCGGCATCCTCGGCTCTGACGGCGGGGACTCCATCACCGACGCGTACTGCTCCGCACAGAAGGATAAGTTCGGCGACCCCGACGATTTCCGCAAGAAAGGCGCCCTGAAGCAGACGGGGGAGGCGCTGCGCCGCGGGATGACGCTCGTCCTCTCCCTGTGGGACGACTACCAGTGCCAGATGCTTTGGCTCGACTCGGACGCGGGCGAGGGCGGCCACTCCACGCCGGGCGTCGCGCGCGGCCCGTGCGACAAGACCACGGGCGTGCCGGCGGACGTGCGCGCCAAGTACCCGGACGCGTCGGTGACCTACTCCAACATCATGTACGGGGAGATCGGGTCCACGTACACTGCCGGCGAGGGCGCAAAGCCGGACCAGGCCGTGGCGACGGGGTTCCCCAAGGCCGCGGCTTCGGGCGTCGCCGCGGTGAGCGGGGGCGCCGCGGCCCTGCCGCAGCAGCAGCAGCAGCAGCAGCAGGCACTGCAGCAGCCGCAGCAGCCGCAGCCGTCGCTGCCGCAGCAGCCGCAGGCCGCCCAGCCGGCGGCGGCGGCGGGCGCGGGCGCCTCCGCCGCGGGCTGCGCGGACGTGTTCCAGCAGTGCGGGGGCGACGGCTGGGCTGGCGCGTCGTGCTGCCAGGCCGGCTGCACCTGCACAGCGCAGGGGGGCCCCTCGTACAGCCAGTGCCTTCCGCCCGCGGGCGCCTACCTGTGCTCTGGCACGATCGGCCTCGTGCAGAGGAGCTCTCTGCGCGAGGCGCCCGCGCAGCGGGCCGGCGAAGGAGTCCCCGCGGCGCGTTGGGCGGCCCCGCTGGCCGTGGCGCTGCGGGCCGCGGCGCCCGCGCTGCTGCTGGCGGCCGCGGCGGCGGCGTGGGCGCGAGCGCGCCGGGCCCGGTCTTCCGCGCAGCTGCGCAGCGAGGAAGCAAACCTGATGGCATCTTCCGAGTGAGCTGGCTGGACTCCATCCCTGGATCTCCCCGAGCTCCCCAGGCTCGTCCTCCGCCGCTTCCCTCCTCCTCGGCTCTGTGCAGTTCAAACTGGAGCACGCCCCGCCCCGTCCGGTCGGCCCTGCGGCTCCGCTTGGGGCCACCCTCGCCCCGTGAGATACGATTCGCCACGGCAGTGCTCAGCTATAAGTGCCTCTGGCCGTGCGCGTGCGGGTCAGCCGGGTGCTGTCGGCTCACATCGGTTTCGGTGTTGAGCCAGAATTAGTTTGCTGCGCCAGGGCATGGTTCGTGGCGCGCAGAATTCGAGCTAGATCTTCTGCTAAAGAATTCGGCCTTCGTGCCCCCGATGCGCCGTTCGAGGCGCACAGTGCACTTTTTGGGGCGGGGCTGGAAACTCTAATGATGCAGTTTAGTGCGCCGTTGACAGTTAAGACGGTTGCATGCATCAGTCTTGTTCACAGATCCAGGTCGACGCGTAGATTTGTGACATGGCTGATGCTGATATGTAGAATGCTTCGAAGGCACCGTTTCGTTTTCCCGCTGTCACGGGACAAAAAAGGGGCCCAAACTTTGCCCCCAAGACAGGGGTACCCCGAGAGGCCTGAGACGTATCCAGAGAGCCTGACGACAGCACACAAGAGTGCCCAGACGTTTCAAGAGAGCCCCCGGAGGGTCCCAAGAGACGCGCCGATGTGGTGAGGCCTCAGAAATTCCCAGGAAGCCCAGCCAGAGCCCCAAACGGTTCCAGGTCCCCATGACAGGCGAACCCGCCCCCGAATACAGCTTCCAGACAGCTTCTGAGAACCAAAGGGAAAGAAGAGCCCAGCGCGCTGTAACACAATAACAGCGAGGCGCCCTCACAGCTCACATTGGAATTCATAGCGAGCTGAATGCAGTTCCGGAGGAGGGAGGGCATCCAGAACCCGGACTGGACCCTGGAAAGGAGCGGACCTACCCAGATGTCCCAAGGGAGAGCAAGAGGACACCAGAGGCTCCCACATGACTTCCAGATGGCGCCTAGAAGCTTCAATACGGTCTCCAGGGGGAAACACATGGCCCAACTCAGTCAACACACACCAAAGTTGACTACAAATGGATATAGCCAGACTGATCGAACGGACTCCACAAGATTCCAGTGGACTCCAGTGGATCCACTGTCGTCCATTTGACTCCATTCGATTCCATGGGCCCTCTCGCAGACTCCAGAGGACTCCGTTGAACCCCGTTGAACCGAGTGGGGCTCCAATGGGCTCCATTGGAGTGCATTGGAATCCATCGAAATCCACAGGACTCTTGCGGACGATTGGAATCCATTTGACTCCAGGGGATTTCATGGAATTCAACAGGACTAGTTAGCACACTCGTACGATTTCTTTCGACTGAATGGAACACCCAGTCGATTCCATTGGAGTCAATGGGCTTCATTGAATTCCATTGGACACCATAGAGCAACATACCACTCCATTGGACTCCCCCCCAGACCCCATTGGCCTCCGATCGACTCCACTGGATTAAGTTGGGCTGCTGTGGAGGCGGAGGGAAGAGCTATGCTAAGCCCTGCTGAGCCTGCTGAGCATTGCCAAGCCCTGGCAAGTTCTGCAAAGCCCTGCTAAGTCCTGGTACGCCCTGCTGAGCACTGCTAGGCACAGCTAAGCCCTGGCAAGCACTGCAAGGCCCTGTTAAGTTCTTGTATACCTTTCGGAGCCCTGGCAAGCTTTGCTTGGCCCCGCTAGGCTGAGCGAATCCTTGCTAAGCCGCGGTAGTGCCGAGTAAGCCCCGAATTCTGAATGAACCTTGCCACACTCTGCTCCACCCTGGTGAGCTCTGCTAAGTCATGCGAAGCCTTGGCAAGCCTTGCGAAGCCCTGCAGATACCTGGTCAGCACCGCTAAGCCGTGCTCACCCTTGCTCAGTCTTGCTCAGCCTGGGCAATCTTGGCTAAGCCCTGGGAAGCCTTGCCGAGCCTTGCTCATTCTTGGCAAGCTTTGCTCTGCGAAGCCTGGCCAAACCTTGATAAGGCAGCTGCTAGCTACTGTGAAGCCCCGGCAAGCTCTGTAAAGCAGTGCCAAGTGCTGGCACGCCCTGCTGAGCCCTGGTAAGCTCTGCTATGCTAGCTAAGTTTGGCAAGTCTTCCTAAGCTATGCTACGCCATGCTCAGCCTTGCTGAGCGTTGCGCAGCCTTGGCAAGCTTTGCTAAGCCCTGCTGTTCCTTGCGAGGCCTCAAGCCCTGCCAGGCCCTGTAAGCGCCTAGTAAGCCTTGCTAAGCCTTCGTAAGCCCTGCTCAGGCCTTGGTAAGCATTGCGAAGCCCTACTGAGCCTGGTAGGCATCGCTAAGCCCTGGCAAGCTCTGCAAAGCCTTGCTTAATCCTTGTGCGCCCTGCTGAGCGCTGCTAGCCACTGCCAAGCCCTGGCAGGCTCTGCGAGCCACTGCTAACTCCTGGTGCTCCCTCCTCAGCCCAGGCAAGCTCCGCTCTGTCCTACTAGGCTCTTGGTAAGCCCTGCTGAGGCCCGGCAAGCTCTGCTAATCCCTGCTAGGCCTTGCTAATACAAGTTCCGCATGCGAAAACTGGTTAAGCCTTGCTAAGCCTTGCTGAGACTTGTTCGGCCTTCACAAGCTTTGCTGAGCCATGTTGATATTTGCGAACCCTTACGTCCTGCCGCGCTTGGCTGAGCCCTGGTGGGCCCTGCTAAGGCTTGGAAAGCCTAGCTAAGCCTTGTCAAGCCCTGTCAGCCCGGGTAGACCTGTGTGTGTGCGTGTGCGTGCGTGCGTGCGTGCGTGCGTGCGTGTGTGTGTGTGTATGTGTGTGTATGGATTTGTTCGTCTTCGTTCCCCCCCGAGAAAACAACGCGGCGGATGTTCCGTGTTTTTTTTGGGGGGGGGGCGCGCACCCCCACAAACATTAGCCTGGCGAAGGACCCATTCATGTGCAGCTGCGAGTGCCTTGAGGGAGATGAGACGAAGCAAGGGGGCGCGCAAACTCCGAGCAGCTCTCACAGGAGGCAGCGCGCCGCAGGAAGAACGAGGCGCGGGGCAGTGCAGGCAGGGATGTAAAGGGGGGAGGCCGGTTCGGGATGGTGGGCTCTCAGATGCTCCCCCATCAGTGTTCTTGCGTCCTGGTGACCGCGGCTCTGGGCAGAGCGCACCGCGGAGTTCCCGCGACGCGCGCCCCATGCCCCGCAGGGGTCCTGGCGACGCGCGCGGGTCGTCCGCTGCGCGGAGCAAAGAGAGCTAGTTGGCTGGCCAACAGCCGGCCACGCGCTGGCCGTTGGGCAGAGCGACGACGAGCGAACGAGGTGGTGTGCGGAACGCAACACGGAGCCTCCGCGACGCGCGCTGGTCGCCCCGAAGGAGTCCTGGCACCGCGCGCAGGTCGTCCCACGCGCAGCCGTTCAGATGCCGCGCAAGCCCCTCTCTCCCGCGGGCGCGGGGCGCTGTCGTTGGGGTCTTCGGTGGAGCTCCCTATGGGGCCACTAAACGTGGGATGGGCGCCCCGAGATACGTGGCGGGCACGCATGTGACCACCCCCGCTGGGGCTTTCGGTGGAGCTCCCTACTGAGCCACGAAACGTGTGATGGGGTGTCTCGACATAGGTGGCGGGCACGCATGTGGCCACCCCCGCTGGGGCCTTCGGCGGATTTCCCTATGGGGCCACGAAGCGTGTAAGGGGTGTGCCAAAATGAGCGGTTGGGACGCATGCGGGCGGCGCCACTGACACTTTCAGTGGACATCCCGATGGTGCCACGAAGCGTGTTCGGGGTTGTGCCGGAATGAGCGGCTGGGGCGCATGCGGGCGGCGCCATTGGGGCCTTCGGTGGACCTGGAAAGGGGCGCCGCGATGCGTGTGATGAGTGTGCGGACTTGAATGCCTGGGACGCGTGCGGAGGGTGCCGCTCTTTTTTTCTTCTTGTTTTTATTTCAATGTTCTAATGGGGAAGCGAAGCGTGTGAAGTTTCTGTGCCGACATGGGCGGCTGGGGCGCATGTGAGCGGCGCCATTGAGGCCCTTCGGTGGAGCGATCCTCTGATGGGGCCGCGAAACACACGAAGGGTGTGCCAACATGGGCGGCTGGGACGCATGCGGGCGGCGCCACTGGGACCCTCGGTGGACCTCCCTATGGGGTTTCGGGACGTTTGAGTAGTGTGCCGATATGAGCGGCTGGGACGCATGCGGGCGGCGCCAGTTGTGGCCCCCAGTGGACATCTCCAGGGGGCCGCGAAACGTGTGAGGGGTGTGCCGACATGGGCGCCTGGGACGCATGCGGGCGGCGCCTGTGGGGCCTTTGTTTTTTATATGTAAAATGATGGGGCCACGAAGCGTGTGAGGGGTGTGCCGAAATTAGCGGTTGGGTTTCATGCGGGCGGCGCCATTGGGGCCTTCGGTGGACCTTGGAAAAGGGGGGCCACGAAGCATGGAGGGGTGTGCCGACGTGGGCGGCTGGGCTGCATGCGGGCGGCGCCTGTGAAACCTTCGGAAGGGGTTCCCAGTGGGGCCGCGAAATGTGTAAGGGGTTTGCCGACATGGGCGTCTGGGGCGCATGCGGGCGGTACCACTGGGGGATATCGGTGGAACTCCCCATGGGGCCACGAAGCGTGTGAGGGGTGTGCCAGATGGTGGACACGCTCAATGCAGAGGCAGGGATGGGAGGAGGGAGGAACAGGAGAAATGAGAAAAGGAGAGGGGACACGGGGCGCTGGCTCTTTTAAGCGAGGACCCAACACCACAGGATGGGAAATATGCAGGCGAAGGACCCAACCGTATGCAGCTGTGCGTACCGCGGTGGTGCGTATCCTCTTTGGTGAAGGCCCCCGTGGTGCCATTGGGGCCTTCGGTGGAGTTCCCCGTGGGGCCACGATACGTGCGAGAGGTGCGCAGAAAGTGGTGGCATGGGCGCACGTGGCCACCCCCGCTGGGGCCTTCGGTGGAGCTCCTTGTGGGGCCACGGAGCGTGTGAGGGGTGTGCCGGAAGTGGCGGGGGGCGCCTGTGGTCACAGCCGTTGGGGATTCTCGGTGGAGCTCCCTGTGGGGCCACGAAGCGTGTGAGGGGTGTGCCGAAATAGGTGACGGGGACGCATGTGGTCACCCCCGCTGGGGCCTTCGGTGGAGCACCGTATTTCCACGAAGCGTGAGAGGGGTGTGCCGACATGGGTGGCGGGGACGCATGTGGGGCCACGAAGCGTGAGAGCGGTGTGCCGGCATTTGTGGCGGGGACCCACGTGGTCACAGCCGTTGGGGCTGTCGGTGGAGCACCGTATGGGGCCACGAGGCGCTGTACCGGGTGCGCTGAAATGGTGGACACGCGGAATGCAGCGGCAGGGAAGGGCGGCCGGGGGGGGAAGAGGAACGTCCCCCAACAATGCCCACACACACAACACACATCACACAACACACAACACACAACACACAACACACACCACACACCACACACAACACACAACACACAACACACAACACGCAACACAAACAACACAGAAAGCACAAACAACACAAACAACACAAACAGCACACAACACACAACACACACAACACACAACACACACATCACACACCCAGACACACACGACACACACAGACACTCACACACTCACACTCACACACTCACACACTCACACTCACACTCACACTCGCACTCACACTCACACTCACACTCACACTCACACCACACACACCACACACACACACGCTCACACTCACACTCACACACATACACACACACACACACGCTCATACACAGACACGCACACACACCACCCACGCACGAACACAAGACAAAGAGAAGACAGCAAAGAAGAGTGAAGAAAGGGTCCAACAGAACGCATAACTCTACAATTGCCTGTCCTCGAGGCCAGTGTCCTCCATTTTCGACGTGGACACCGAAGCCCACGCGAAACACTTCAAGGCCCCGCCCGAGAGCGCCTGGGAAACCGGGTGTCTGGGTTCTTCAGGATGCAGAATCTTGGCTGCAGCAGAACAGCTGCGAGCCTTGGGGCACTCCGCTTCGCTTCGTGACATGGGCACGGTGGCGGATATGTATGTGTACTTATACATTTAAATATATATATATATATATATATATATGTATACGTGTGTGGCGTGTGTACATTAAGATGTTACGTGTGTGGCGCGCGAAGTCAAAAGTCCCACACGCCTGGTCGCGCGAAGTCAAAAGTCCCACACGCCTGGTCAACCCCAGCAAGGGGGTCAGAAGATTTTGTAGTATTGTTTTGTTGTGGATTTCTGCTGTGGTCTTGGGAGTCCGTAGGAAGGTACCAAGACGGCCCCCAAGATGACCTCCGTAACCATTTTGGCTCAAGCTTTTTTGGCACCGGAAGCAGCCGTTTCGGTACCCGCCCCCCCTCTCGGACGCTTCCGCAGCAGCGGCATCGGCGGCCGAAGGAGAGAGAACATGCAGTTCGCGTGGGCGGTGCTGTGCCTCCCGGCCGTCGCCGTGGCGCAGATGGCCGGCATGACCAAGGAGGAGCAGGGGCCACCCATTGTGATCGCGGAGTGCACCCTGCAGGGGGGCTGCGAGGCGCAGCAGAGGGCCCTGACTCTGGACGCCAACTGGCGCTGGGTGCACGGCCAGACCTGCCAGGGCACGGGCCCCGCCGCCCAGTGCTACAGCTCGGGCAACTGCTTCACCGACGGCGTGTGGGACTCCACCATGTGCCCCGACCCGGAGTCCTGCGCCGAGAACTGCGCGCTGGAGGGCGTCACGCTGGACGACTACGACAGCACCTACGGCGTCGCGGCGATCCCGGGAGGCGTCGAGCTAGGCTTTTTTTTTTTTTTTTTTTTTTTTTTTTTTATTATTTTTTTTTTTTTTTTTTTTTTTTATTTTTTTGTTTTTTTTTTTTTTTTTTTTCTTTTTTTTTTTTATTTTTTTTTTTTTTTTTTTTTTGTTTTTTTTTTAGTGCGCGGCCCGAACGTGGGGTCCCGCCTGTACGTCCTGGAGAAGCCAGACAAGTACAAGCTTTTCAAGCTCCTGAACAGGGAGTTCACCTTCGACGTGGATGTCTCCACACTTCCCTGCGGACTGAACGGCGCGTTGTACTTCAGCGAGATGGATGAGGATGGGGGGATGAAGCACTCGGGCAACAAGGCTGGCGCCAAGTACGGGACAGGCTACTGTGACGCCCAGTGCCCCCATGACGTGAAGTTCATGGAGGGCAAGAGCAACACCCTCGAGTGGAACACGAGCGCAGCTCTCGGCAAGTACGGGCTGTGCTGCGCGGAAGTTGACATCTGGGAGGCGAATTCCATGGCCACGGCCTTCACGATGCACCCGTGCACCATCGATGGCACCTATTTGTGCAAGGGCAAGGAGTGCGGCGACAACGCCAAGAACGAGCGCTACGATGGCGTCTGCGACAAGGATGGCTGCGACTTCAACTCGTACCGCATGAGCCACCAGCAATTCTTCGGACCGGGAGACGATTTCACGGTGGACACCACGCAGCCGATGACCGTGGTGACCCAGTTCGTGACAGACGACGGCACCGACGACGGCGACCTCGTGGAGATAAGGCGCCTCTACGTGCAGGGCGGCAAGGTGATCAAGAACTCGAACGCCGGCATCCTCGGCTCTGACGGCGGGGACTCCATCACCGACGCGTACTGCTCCGCACAGAAGGATAAGTTCGGCGACCCCGACGATTTCCGCAAGAAAGGCGCCCTGAAGCAGACGGGGGAGGCGCTGCGCCGCGGGATGACGCTCGTCCTCTCCCTGTGGGACGACTACCAGTGCCAGATGCTTTGGCTCGACTCGGACGCCGGGGAAGAGGGCGGCCACTCCACGCGGGCGTCGCGCGCGGCCCGTGCGACAAGACAACGGGCGTGCCGGCGGACGTTTGCGCGCAAGTACCCGGACGGCGTCGGTGCCTACTCCCACATCATGTACGGGGAGATCGGGTCCACCGTACACTGCGGCGAGGGGCGCGGAGCCGGACCCAGGGCCCGTGGCGACGGGGTTCCCAAGCCTCGGTCTGCGGGCCTGTTCACCGCGCGTGGGCGGGGGCCGCCGACGGCCCTGCCGCAGCAGCAGCAGCAGCAGGCAGCTAGGAACTGCAGAGAAGACGCAGCAGCCGCAGCCGTCGCTGCCCGCAGCCAATTGCCGCAGGCCGCCCAGCGGCGGCGCGGCGGGCGAGGGCGCCTCCGCCGCGGGTTCCTGCGCGGACGTGGTTCAGCAGTGCGGGGGCGGTCGCTGGGCTGGCGCGTCGTGCTGTCGTCATGGTCGCCGGCTGAACCTGCACTGCCGTAGCCCCCCTCGTACAGCCAGTGCCTGCCGCCCGCGGGCGCCTACCTGTGCTCTGGCACGATCGGCCTCGTGCAGAGGAGCTCTCTGCGCGAGGCGCCCGCGCAGCGGGCCGGCGAAGGAGGCCCCGCGGCGCGTTGGGCGGCCCCGCTGGCCGTGGCGCTGCGGGCCGCGGCGCCCGCGCTGCTGCTGGCGGCCGCGGCGGCGGCGTGGGCGCGAGCGCGCCGGGCCCGGTCTTCCGCGCAGCTGCGCAGCGAGGAAGCAACCCTGATGGCATCTTCCGAGTGAGCTGGCTGGACTCCATCCCTGGATCTCCCCGAGCTCCCCATTGCTCGTCCTCCGCCGCTTCCCTCCTCCTCGGCTCTGCGCAGTTCACACTGGAGCACGCCCCGCCCCGTCCGGTCGGCCCTGCGGCTCCACTTGGGGCCACCCTCGCCCCGTCAGATACGATTCTCGCCACGGCAGTGCTTAGCTGTAGTGCCTCTGGCCGTGCGCGTGCGGGTCAGCCGGGTGCTGTCGGCTCAGATCGGTTTCGGTGTTGAGCCAGAATTGGTTTGCTTTGCCAGTGCATGGTTCGTGGCGCGCAGAATTCGAGCTAGATCTTCTGCTAAAGAATTTGGCCTTCGTGCCCCCGATGCGCCGTTCGAGGCGCACAGTGCACTTTTTGGGGCGGGGCTGGAAACTCTATTGATGCAGTTTAGTGCGCCGTTGACAGTAAAGACGGTTGCATGCATCAGACTTGTTCACAGATCCAGGTCGACGAATAGATCTGTGACATGGCTGATGCTTATATGTAGAATGCTTCGAAGGCGCCGTTTCGTTTTCCCGCTTTCATGGGACAAAAAAGCGGCCCCAGATATTGCCCCAAGACAGAGAGGTATCCCGAAGGGCCTCGAACGTACCAAGAGAGCCTGACGACAGCACACAAGAGTGCCCAGACGTTTCAAGAGAGCTCCCAGAGTGTCCCAAGAGACGCGCCGATGTGGTGAGGCCTCAGAAATTCCCAGAAAGCCCAGCCAGAGCCCCAAACGGTTCCAGGTCCCCATGACAGGCGAACCCGCCCCCGAATACAGCTCCCAAACAGCTTCTGAGAACCCGAGGGAAAGAAGAGCCCAGCGCGCTGTAACACAATAACAGCAAGGCGTCCTCACAGCTCACATTGGAATTCATACCGAGATGAATGCAGCTCCAGAGGAGGGAGGAGGTCTTTCTAGCATCCAGAACCTGGACTGGACCCTGGAAAGGAGCGGACCTACGCAGATGTCCCAAGGAAGCGCAAGAGGACACCAGAGGCTCCCACATGACTTCCAGATGGCGCCTAGAAGCTTCAATACGGTCTCCAGGGGGCTCCTACATGGCCCAACTCAGTCAACATACACCAAAGTTGACTCCAAATGGATATAGCCAGGCTGATCGAACGAACTCCACAAGATTCCAGTGGACTCCAGTGGAGTCCATTGTCTTCCATTTGGCTCCATTCGATTCCACGGGCCTCCCGCAGACTCCAGAGGACTCCATTTGACCCCGTTGAACCGAATTGGGCTCCAATGGGCTCCACTGGCGTGCATTGGAATCCATCGAAATCCACAGGATTCTTGCGGACTATTGGATTCCATTTGATTCCAGGGGACTTCGTGGCATTCAATAGGACTGACTGGAACACCCAATCGACTCCATTGGCGGCAATGGGCTTCATTGGATTCCATTGGACACCATATGGCAACATACCACTCCATTAGACTCCCCATCAGACCCCAAATCGACTCCATTGGATTATGTTGCACTACTGGGGAGGCGGAAGAGGAGGAGGAGGAGGAGGAGGAGGAAGAGGAGGAGAAGAAGGAGGAAGAGGAGGAGGAGAAGGAGGAGCCTTGCAAAGCCCTGCTGAGCCTGCTGAGCACGGCCAAGCCCTGGCAAGTTCTGCAAAGCCCTGCTAAGTCCTGGTACACCTTGCTGAGCACTGCTAGGCACTGCTAAGCCCTGGCAAGCACTGCAAGGCCCTGCTAAGTTCTTGTTTGCCCTTCGGAGCCCTGGCAAGCTTTGCTTGGCCCCGCTAGGCTCCGCGAATCCTTGCTAAGCCGCGGTAGTGCCGAGTAAGCCCCGAATTCTGGATAAACCTTGCCACGCTCTGCTCCACGCTGGTGAGCTCTGCTAAGTCATAATAAGCCTTGGTAAGCCCTGCTAAGGCCTGGTCAGCACCGCTAAGCCGTGCTCACCCTTGCTCAGTCTTGCTCAGCGTGGGCAATATTGGCTAAGCCCTAGGAAGCCTTGCTGAGCCTTGCTCATTATTGGCAAGCTTTGCTCTGCGAGGCCCTTGATAAGGCAGCTGCTAGCTACCGCTAAGCCCTGGCAAGCTCTGTAAAGCCCTGCTAAGTGCCAGCACGCCCTGCTGAGCCCTGGTAAACTTTGCTATGCCAGCTAAGCTTGGCAAGCCTTGCTAAGCGCTAAGCCATGCTAAGCCATGCTCGGCCTTGCCGAGCGTTGCGCAGCCCAATTGGCAGGGCTTTGCTAAGCCCTGCTGTTCTTTGCGAGGCCTCAAGCCCTGCCGAGCTTTGCTGAGCCCTGCCAGGCCCTGCAAGCGCCTGGTAAGCCTTGCTCAGCCTTCGTAAGCCCTGCCCAGGCCTTGGTAAGCCTTGCGGAGCCCTACTGAGCCTGGCAGGCATTGTTAAGCCCTGGCGGGCTCTGCAAATCCTTGCTTAATCCTGGTACGACCTGCTGAGCGCTGCTAGCCACTGCTCTGCCCCTGCCCTGGCAGGCTCTGCGAGCCCCTGCTAACTTCTGGTGCTGCCTCCTCGTCCCAGGAAAGCTCAGCTCAGTCCTACTAGGCTCTTGGTAAGCCCTACTGAGGCCCGGTAAGCTCTGCTAGTCCCTGCTAAGCCTCGCTAAGACTTTCTCAGCAGGTGAAAGCTTGTTAAGCTTTGCTAAGCCTTTCTGGGACTTGTTCGGCTTTGACAGGCTTTGCTGAGCCATGTTGATCGCCGCGACGCCTTACGTTCTGCCGCGCTTGGCTGAGCCCTGGTGGGCCCTGCTGAGGCTTGGAAAGCCCAGCTAAGCCTTGGTAAGCCCTGCTCAGCTCTGGTAGACGTGTTAATGTGTGTGCGCGTGCGTGCGTGTGTGTGTGTGTAATTGTGTGTGTGTGAATGTGAATGTGAATGTGAATGTGAATGTGAATGTGAATGTGAATGTGAATGTGAATGTGTGTGTGTGTTTGTGTGTGTGGGTTTGTTCGTCTTCGCTCCCCCCCGAGAAAACAACGCGGCGGATGTTCCGTGTCTTTTTTTTTGGGGGGGGCGCGCACCCCCACAAACATTAGCCTGGCGAAGGACCCAACCATGTGCAGCTGCGAGTGCCGCGAGGGAGATGAGATTAAGCAAGGGGGCGCGCAAACTCCGAGCAGCTCTCACAGGAGGCAGCGCGCCGCAGGAGGAACGAGGCGCGGGGCAGTGCAGGCAGGGATGTAAAGGGGGGGGGGGGCGGTTCGGGATGGTGGGCTCTCAGATGCTCCCCTTGTGTGTTCTTGCGCCCTGGTGACCGCGGCTCTGGGCAGAGCGCAACGCGGAGCTTTCGCGACGCGCGCCCCAAGCCCCGCAGGGGTCCTGGCGACGCGCGCGGGTCGTCCGCTGCGCGGGGCAAAGAGAGCTAGTTGGCTGGCCGACAGCGGGCCAGGCGCTGGCCGTTGGGCACAGCGACGACGAGCGAGCGAGGTGCTGTGCGGAGCCTCCGCGACGCGCGCCGGTCGCCCCGAAGGAGTCCTGGCGACGCGCGCAGGTCGTGCCACGCGCAGCCGTTCACATGCCGCGCCAGCCCTTCTCTCCCGCGGGCGCGGGGCGCTGTCGCTGGGGTCTTCGGTGGAGCCCCCTATGGGGCCACGAAGCGTGGGATGGGTGCCCCGAGATACGTGGCGGGCACGCGTGTGGCCACCCCCGCTCGGGCCTTCGGTGGAGCTCCCTACTGAGCCACGAAACGTGTGATGGGGTGTCTCGGAATAGGTGGCGGGCACGCATGTGGCCACCCCCGCTGGGGCATTCGGCGGATCTCCCTATGGGGCCACGAAGCGTGTAAAGGGTGTGCCGAAATGAGCGGCTGGGACGCATGCGGGCGGCGCCACGGAGACTTTCAGTGGACATCCCGATGGTGCCACGAAGCGTGTTGGGGTTGTGCCGAAATGAGCGGCTGGGGCGCACGCGGGCGGCGCCATTGGGGCCTTCGGTGGACCTGGAAAGGGGGGCTGCGCTGCGTGTGATGAGCGTGCGGACTTGAATGCCTGGGACGCGTGCGGAGGGTGCCGCTCGTTTTTGTTCCTGCTTTTATTTCCGTTCTGTTATGGGGAAGCGAAGCGTGTGAAGTGTGTGCCGACATGAACGGTTGGGGCGCATGTGGGCGGCACCATTGGGGCCTTTCGGTGGAGCGAGCTCCTGATGGGGCCGCGAAACATACGAAAGGTGTGCCAACATGGGCGGCTGGGACGCATGCGGGCGGCGCCACTTGGATTCTCGGTAGACCTCCCCATGGGGCTTCGAGACGTTTGAGTAGTGTGCCGATATGAGCGGCTGGGACGCATGCGGGCGGCGCCAGTTGTGGCCCCCGGTGGACATCTCCAGGGGGCCGCGAAACATGTGAAGGTGTGCCGACATGGGCGCCTGGGACGCATGCGGGCGGCGCCTGTGGGGTCATGGTTTTTTATATTAAAAAGATGGGGCCACAACGCGTGTGAGGGGTGTGCCGAAATAAACGGTTGGGTCCCATGCGGGCGGCGCCATTGGGGCTTTCGGTGGACTTGGAAAAAAAGGGGCTTCGAAGCATGTGAGTGGTGTGCCGACGTTGGCGACTGGGATGCATGCGGGCGGCGCCTGTGAAACCTTCGGTGGGGTTCCCAGTGGGGCCGCGAAATGTGTAAGGGGTTTGCCGAAATGGGCGTCTGGGACGCATGCGGGCGGCTCCA